GTTCTTTGACATTGATAGCTGTTTACTATTTGGAATCAGTGAAGTTTCAGGAGTCCTGCCACTGCCATGAACATGTCGGTCCCAATCACACTAATGAGACAACCACCCATTCAGTCCCCGGCTGGCGGTCCTGGTTCACAATGAGAAAGGTACTGTGCTGAGCAGTTTTCCAATCGGATCTTCCTCTTCCTTCCCCAGCACACTCCAAACCTACTCCGGCCGACCACCCCAGCCCCACAGACCCTTAAGAACTTCCCCCCTATTTCTTTGACTTTCCCCATCAAACTCACAACCTATCGCATTGCCTAGGGGCGCCCCTAACCCTCCCTGGGGGGCGGGGCCAGCCTGGGCAAGGGACCCAGTGTTCTACTCTCTGGTCATTCCGGTGTTACGGTGGCTGGCTTTTTATATAGAGAGACAGTTGGCAAATAAATGAGTTATAAAATATTAAGTAACTGTTGAAATCTAAACAGGTCTCCATTTCTTTTTGGTGCATGTGTGTGCACATGTGGGGTGAGGGGCACCTGACACATTAACAAGAGCTTGGGCCTCGCCACCTGGATGCCTGCCTTGGCCCTTCTGGAAAGTTCTATGCAAATCGTTCCCCAAGAAAAGAAGGAAGGGTCTGCGTTGTGGAGCTGTAAAGAATATAGGCCCTCCAAGCTCGGAGTCCCTCGGAAGCCAGACTGAGCAGCAATACATGGCTGCACCCACATATCTTCGTTCTCGGAGATTACAAACTCTAATTGTAAATCAACTGGAATTCAAAGCAAACCTACCTAAACATTTTCAAAACCAGAAATTAAATAACAGGGTAATAATGATTTTGGAAGAGTGTCTGAATCCTGGTGTTCAACCTCCCATCACAGTCATTTCAAAGTAAAGTGCTGTTGGGCAGAATTCAGTTAACATATGTGTTTACTGCTGATCTTGGTTCATGTGGACACACACACACATGCACACACGTGGCTTGTACAGCCATGAGGCTGACCCTCTGGGAGCCCCTCGGGGATGCCTGGCACGAGGTGTCCCTGGGGCGAGGCAGGTGAGGGCATGTGGTGTCTCACACCCTCCTGAGGGCAGATGTGGCCACCTCTGTTTCACAGCTAAGGTGACGGAGACTCAGAGATCATAAGATATATTTCCAAGTTCGATCTGCTAATACGGGGCTTAGATTTTACATTCCTTCTCTCTCTCTCTCTCTGCTCTTTCCTTTCCTTCCTTCCTTCCCAATTTTTCTGGTGCCATCGAAGCTCACCGGCATCAGCTCCAAACTGCACTGTCATAGCGCCTGGCCTGGCCTGCCAAGCGTGTGACCCGGGCACACACGGGGCCTGCCAGCAGCCAGGGCTGTGCCTGGGGGTGGTGCCCTGCAGCTCTGGGCACTGCCAGCCCCTGGGCTCCTGGGATCAGAGCTGACTTTTCTGGTTGATGTTGGCCTCTTTTATGGCCCTTCTTGGCTGGCCGGCTGGCCCCTCTGGGCCTATAATTAGCAGCAACGCCCGGCCCTGGCCCTGGCGGGGGGATCAGGTGTCCGTTGGTCCACAGGTCCCAGAGCAGGACTGTTGGGGCCTAGAGATTATCTCCAGGCTACAGTGCCCAGTGGTCTGGTTTCTGACCCAGGAAGTCTCTTGCCTGTCGGACAAGGGTGTCTGTGTCCCCCTGGGAATCCTGTGTTTTTCTTTCTAAATCTGGTACGCCTTTGCAGGGCCTTTGAATGGTGCACGAATGTGTCTCCAGGTCATGGGGCGCTTCCAGCCACCCCTGACTAGAGAACACGGTGGGTCTGAAGACACTGGGCACCACACAGAGCTGGAGCGAGGTGCTGCTTTCTTCTCCTGTTGGGGCAGCGGGGGCTTCCTGGGGACAGGGACACAGCCTGAAGATGAGATGAGATTGACTGAGACATTGCCCCAGTTGCCGGGCATCAGCCCCTAAAATGTCCCCTGGGCCCTGCCCAGTTTGGCTCAGTGGATAGAGCATCAGCCTGCGGACTGAAGGGTCCCAGGTTCGAGTCCAGTCAAGGGCACATGCCCACATTGCGGGCTCGATCCCCAGCGGGGGGCGTGCAGGAGGCAGCCGATCAATGATTCTCTCTCATCATTGATGTTTCTCTCTCTCTCCCTCTCCCTTCCTCTTTGAAATCGATAAACATGTTTTTTTTTAAATAATAGTAATAATAATAAAATGCCCCCCAGGTCGTGGGCAGAGGCATCCCAGGCCCCTGCTCTCATGCAAAGGCCTGGCTATTGGCACTGATGTGGCAGGATTCTCAGCATCAACTTTGAGGTCCCATGAGGGGTGGACAACCAGGACCATGACGTTTGGAGAGAGGGCTTAGGAGGGGCCTGCAGCCTCCTGCGAGCTGTGAACAGGGTTTGGAGTCAGATTGAATTCCTGTCTGCCGCCTCCTAGCCACGTGACTCTGGGCCTCAGCTTCTTCATCCATAAAACAGGGACAGTCATTCCTCTAGGGAGGTCTACAGTGAGATTAACAGGAGCTGCTCATGGACACAGACACCAAGTAACAGGGTCAGGACTGCCCTCCTCAGAGGCCCGGCCTCTTGCCTTCAGAATTAGCAAGGATCTGCTGCTGTAACAAATCTCAAAGCAGCAATGGCTCAAACACAGTCATTTCTTTCTCTCTCTTGAAAATGCACACACAGCCAGTATTCTTCACTGGCCAGTGGCTCTCCCCACAGATGGTTCAAGGATCCAGGCTGCTTCTGTGGGCGGCTCTGCCATCTTATAATTGTGCAGCTTCCAAGGTCACCATGTCCATCTGCATTGTGGTGGGAGAGGAAACAGCATGGACGGGGCACACGGAGGAGTCCTGTCGGCCAGGCTTGGAGGCAGTAGACGTTCTGACTTCAGGCCGCGGAGGAGTGTCGCCCAGCTCTGCCTCAGGAAGCAGTGCCTCCTGCCTGGAAACAGCAGCACTCTGGAAGGTTCTGGAGGAGGCCCCAGGAGAAGGGAACTGCTGGGAGCCCCAAAGAAATGAAGCGCTGATTCTTGGTTCGGGTTCCTGGCCCAGGAGCAGACGCTGAGACAAGGATGGGGGTGCCCGCTGCGGGTGCCATCTTATAATTGTGCAGCTTCCAAGGTCACCATGTCCATCTGCATTGTGGTGGGAGAGGAAACAGCATGGACGGGGCACACGGAGGAGTCCTGTCGGCCAGGCTTGGAGGCCATAGACATTAGGCTCGTGTTGCCTGACTCGCCCTTGGTCACCTGGCCACTTCTGACTTCAGGCCGCGGAGGAGTGTCACCCAGCCCTGCCTCAGGAAGCAGAGCCTCCTGCCTGGAAACAGCAGCACTCTGGAAGGTTCTGGAGGAGGCCCCAGGAGAAGGGAACTGCTGGGAGCCCCAAAGAAATGAAGCGCTGATTCTTGGTTCGGGTTCCTGGCCCAGGAGCAGACGCTGAGACAAGGATGGGGGTGCCCGCTGCGGGTTGGGGAGACCCCACCATTCGTGGCAGAGGAGAAGGGCGGGGAGGCAGCAGAGGGAAGTCAGCTCACCAAGGGCGTTTCTCAGGCCAGCTACACGGGGGCAGCTGGAGCCTAAACCTCAGGGCCCTGGGAGCCAGGGCGTCACGGAGCCTCAGAGTCATCCTGTGAAAGGAGTGGGGAACTGGGTATTGTACCCCCATCTGTCGGTGGTTGAGGGCTGCTCCTGGGGGTGTTATTCCCTGGCCCTGTGGTCTCTCCTGTGGCAAAGGGAGCCTGGGCCGGACAAGCAGGTGCCGGCAGGTGGGAGCTGGAGGTGTGCCCCGAGTGGTCAGGGTCGGGGACCTAAGCGGGACTCACAGTGTCTGCTACACGCAACAAATGTGCAGGGACCTCAGTTCCCTCTCTCAGTTGGTCCCCTGAAGGGAAAGGGTAGGGGTCCACTCCCAGCCTGCAGCCCTGAAGCAGGGTCACAGGGCCTGGAGGCAGCTGCACGGCCAGGGGTGGGCACTGGCTCGGAGTCCGCGGACCTGAGCTCAGGTCTGGAGCTTCTTGACTAGAGACCTTGAGCAAGAAAGCCATCTCCTCTCCCAGGCCCGGTCTACTCTCTGCTCACTTAGCGACACTCCCTGGGGTGCCCACTAAATCCGTGGCCTGGCACCGCGCTGGGCCCTGAGGGCACAGCTGAGATAGGATCACTGCCCAGCCCTCCCGGGGCCCCCAGGGAGGGACACTTGGTGCCAGGGCTCCTTGGTGGGAAAACAGGAGGGGCGGGTTCTGAAAATCAGAGAGGACTCCCCCCGACCCCCAGCCTCAGGAGGCAAAGTCAGTTCCTTCGTCGCTGTATTTACTGAGCATCTCACCAGGCCCCGTGCTGGTGCAGGAGTCTCTACCCTGGAGACCCCCGGGTTCTTGTCTGTAAAGCGGGGATGCTCATTGGCCCCTGGAAGTTAAGACCAAGATCGCCTGACAATGTGCGGGTTCCGGTGCGACACGAAAATACAAGCTCCTTGTTCAAAAATTAGCGAAGTTTCAGGACAGTAACAGCAGAGCATGGAAACAGGACGGGGTGTGCCTGCTCCCCCAGGAGATCCCACTGCAAACAGATTTGGTGAACTGCCAAGTGCAGGGTCCACGTGAGAGGTGGGGGCTAGCCAAGGGAGGAGGGAGTCCAGATGGGCCCAGGGGTGAATGGCACCCACCAGGGAAGGCCAGGCCCCATGGAGAGGCACTCGGAGTCTTGACAGCTGTCGCAGACCTTGGGAGTCAGACAGGCTGTCCTCAAAAAGGGACAGCCAGTCCCCTGACCTTGGCCGAGGCCAGACACCCTGCTCCCAGGTCAGAGGGCTTGGCAGCCTCAGGCACAGACTGGAAGCACAGACTGTACGTACATGAGAATTGACTCATGATGACACCCAGTACAGGGCAGCCGGTCAAGGACACGGTCCCAGCTGCCCAGGCCCATGCCTCCCCCCACCCATGGCAAATGCTGCTCAGTGTGGGGTGCTGCCATGTAGCCAGGAGCTACGGGTGCCCCGGCACGCTCAGCTGGGCCCGAGGCTGGCCCTCCAAGGAAGCCCTTGGGATTTCATCTGGATGCAAACGTTCTCCTGGCTCTGGGATACTTGGACTTGGGACGGGTCGGGTCTGTCAGCGGGAGGCACCTGAATCTCTGAAAACACTGGGTTTCTACTGGGGGCCAATCTGAGGACTACAGCCCCAGAGCAGAGCTTCGCGCAACCTGGCAGCAGTGCTCAGCTTTGGGGAAGTGAGGGGCTTACAGAGGCGAAAGAGCGAGCAAAGGTACACGTGGTCCAGCAGAAGTTACCACAAGGGGGCATACCCTCCTTCCACGATTAACAGTTTTACATCAAATGGAAAAAATGTACAAGATAAGGTTGGGTCTGGTCTTGAACATCTTTGAGATGCATTTGATCTGGATGAGGGAAGCCCAGGCACCGTTTTCTGAAACCACTGACCTTTAGATGAGACGTTGTGGGTTGTACATACGTGAGCATCCCCCACGGCTGCCTGAGAAGGAGGTGAGATAGGCTCTCTCTTCTCCCCCAGTTACTGATTATTCAGAGGAGCCCACGTGCCCTTACCTTTCCTCAGGCCAAATGATGCCCTTGAAATGCACATTGACCTGCTCCTCATGCCAACTGGGCCCCTAGACCCCCACGATCCAGCTCCCAATTCTTAGCTCGTCTCGTAAGGTGCTTCCTGCCCCAGCCCAGGTGCTCCGTAGGTCAGGAATCGGGGAGGGCTCAGCTGGCTTCTCTTCTCAGGGTCTCCTGAGGCTGAAGCCAAGACCCACCTCTCATCCGGAACCTCCGGGAGCTTGTTCCGGTTGTTGGCGGAGGTCAGTTCCTGCAGCCGCAGGACGGAGGTCCCGTCTTCTTGCTGACTATTGGCCGGAGACCATTCTCGGAGATCTCTGGGGTCTTTGCCTCATGAGCCTCCACCGCAGCCTCCCTCACCTGAATCCCGCTCACACTCGAATCTCTGACTTGTTCTGCTACCAGCCAGAGAAGATGCTTTGCCTCCAGGGGTCCCGGGAGTAGATCAGACCACGTGGGAGGTCTCCGTGTCTCACCGTCCACGGATCGGAACCTTAATTACATCCGCAGAATCCCTTTTGCCCTGAGAGGTGGCATCCTCACAGGTATGATGCTACCCATAGTCACAGGCCCAGCCGGAGGCCTTGGGGCCGGGCTAGGAATTGGTCCACCCCTGACCCCCCTTCCTGGCTCTCAGGACACCACGCCCTCCTGGTTCTCTCCTTTCTCACTGCTGCTTCTGCTGGTCCTTGGCTGCATTCGCCCCCCAACCGCCAGCATTTTTTAAGAACATCAGGACTCCCTAAAGAAGTGATAATAAAGAGAGGGCTGGGTCCAGGCCACCCAGGGAGCTGGCAGAAGTCACCCCAGCTGGGAACTCTCAGCCGCTGCTCGGGCAGCTAATGTCCCAGGGGTTGGGGGCCCTGCCCACCAAGCTCAATGGATGAAGTTGTGGAGAGCAGCTACAGCGTTTGGACAGATTCAAGCCTCAGACTAATGAGAGGGCACGATCCTCTTGTGGCAAAGCCACGTGTAAATCCCAGCACAATTATAGCCAAAGGCTATCGTGGTAAGCTTGACCTTATGGTCCGAACCTGTGATCCCGCGTGGCTGAGTGATGTGGGCTTGATAGAGTTCAGGTGCATGTAACTGAGTAAGATTCGAAACCCACCAGAACATTGTAAACATTTACCACGCCCTTACTTTGCCTCGTGGAATCTGGCTATGAAATAAAGACTCGGCTTGCAGGCCGTGGCGCTGTCTCTCTAACCAGAGGGCAGAGTCCCACCCAGCCCCAGCTTTATTCTCTTGTCTGTCTTTTCTAATCCTTCACCCCCACCCCTCCCTCAGGCTCACCCATGGCTGTGCTGGCGCAGCACATGAAGTGACCACCAGGGTCAGGTAATTCCCCAGTAAATCCCAGCACAATTATAGCCAAAGGCTATCGTGGTAAGCTTGACCTTATGGTCCGAACCTGTGATCCCGCGTGGCTGAGTGATGTGGGCTTGATAGAGTTCAGGTGCATGTAACTGAGTAAGATTCGAAACCCACCAGAACATTGTAAACATTTACCACGCCCTTACTTTGCCTCGTGGAATCTGGCTATGAAATAAAGACTCGGCTTGCAGGCCGTGGCGCTGTCTCTCTAACCAGAGGGCAGAGTCCCACCCAGCCCCAGCTTTCTTCTCTTGTCTGTCTTTTCTAATCCTTCACCCCCTCCCCCTCAGGCTCACCCATGGCTGTGCTGGCGCAGCACATGAAGTGACCACCAGGGTCAGGTAATTCCCCAGGCAGTGGTCAGCAAACTGCGGCTCGGCAAACGGCGGCTCTCAAGCCACATGCGGCTCTTTGGCCCCTTGAGTGTGGCTCTTCCACAAAATACCGACTTCTGCGCATGGACCACAAAGTTTCAATCGCACTGTTCGTGCGCGCCCGCACGTGGTATTTTGTGGAAGAACCACACTGGGCACAAAGGTTGGGCCCGGGAGTGGACCGGCACCAGGCAGAATAATAGGAACTTTTTCAAGCACTTACGATGTGCCAGGTGCTAAGGGTATGTGTAAATATTAGCTAATTTAATTCATGACTATTTATGAGGCAGGTACTACTGTTAACCCCATTTCACAGAGCAAGAAACTGAGGCTCAGTGAGTGAGGGTAAGGGACTCGCCCCAGGCCAGACAGCTCATGATGGGAGGAGCTGCTGAGGGAGGTCCCCTGCCTTCAGTATCGCTGCCATGCTGGAATATGACTCTATCCATCTAGCATGAATAAGGAGGTATACCAGCAAGAGGCTCCGTGTGGGGAAGCCGTTGAACTAGGACTAAAAGAGGAACACTACAAGGAGACATATGTGGACTCAACATAAGGAAAGGCAGATGTCCCAGCTGTCAGAGTGGCCCAGGGGTGAGCAATGGCTGTCGTGGGAGGGAATGAGCTGCCTGTCGCTGAGTAGATGCAAGTTCTCTTTTTCTGAGGCCCTTAATAATAGACACTGTACTGAGCACTTACATATGTCATCTTTAGGTCCTTGATCACCTGGGCACTATTGTCCCCAGCTTACAGATGAGAAAACTGAGGCTCAAAGAGATTGACTTATTGGTGATTATGCAGATGGTGAATGGGGGAGCCATGACTCAAACCCAAAGCTCTGCCTGTGTCCATACGTCTGCTGAGGGCCTGCTGTGTGTCCAGCAGGGACGGACCGTTTAGTCCCAGGCCTCACCCTCATGGAGATCGCATCCCAGTAGGAGTGAGACAACCTGGAGGAATGAGTGCTGACATAGAATCGACCAGGACAGGTGAAACCAAGAGTCAGCTGGAGTCAGGGAGATCCGGGGTGGTCAGGGAGGCCACTCTGAGGTGGTGGCATCTGAGCTGAGACCTGGGGGGCGAGAAAGCTTGGAGAGCGTTATGAAGAAATGGGAGAACAATGCTCTGAGCAGAGGGAACCACAGGTGCAAAGGCCCTGAGGTGGGGCAGGGGAAGACCAGTGTGGGAGGAAAGGCCAAGGTGGGGGCCAGATCATTCAAGGCCTGGTCAGCCAGGGTTTGGCCTTCATTTGAAATTATTGGAGGATTTTACACCAGCAGTGCACTGCAGACAACTCATACCAGCCCCTAAAAACCACCTCTTAAATCTTTGCAAGCAGGTTAACTATTAGTAGCTTGAAATCAGCCACGGTGGGAGCATTTACACCATGGAAAATGGCATTTACACCATGGAAAATGGCATGTGCCACAAATCATGGCTCTGTGCTCTGGGCAGTAAGGTGGTTGGTTATTTTTCTGCATTGCACTGGCTTTAGGCAGGGAAATGGGGAGATTGGGCTGCACTTTAAGGAGAACTCTGGCTGCTGGGTGGAGAATGGCAAGCAGGAGGGGAGGGCATTGCCCTGGTGCATGCAGGAGAGATGGAGCTTTGGACCAGGGTGGGCCAGTGGATGGATTGGAGCGATTTTGGAAGCAGAACCAGCGGGCCTTGCTGAGGCTCTCCCTGGTGCAGAGCAGGGAGGAGGGTGTAGGAGCCAGGCTGGGGGTCTCACAGAAGGAGCAGCCACCGCACCGCATCCTGGGCGCTGGGACTTGCCTCCTCCTGCACCCAGGCTGGGAGGGGGCGGAAGGGACAGATCTCAGAGAGTCTATCTCCATGGAGGGTTGAGGGGACCTAAGCATTGTCTGGTCTTAGCAAACTCCCAGCAGAATAAAAGAGGAACACTACAAGGCCATGCTTACCTTCCCCGCACCCACTCAGCCCCTAGCCCCCAGGCTGCACACACTCCCCACCCTTCCCCAAGCCACCTTTGGCAGCCAACCCCAGCAACAGGGCTCCTGGTAAGCCATGCTTGCCTTCCCCGCACCCACTCAGCCCCCAGCCCCCAAACCACCTTTGGCAGCCAACCCCAGCAACAGGGCTCCTGGGCTTCAGCCCCTCCCGCTGTCAGAACACTCTCTCAGGAAAGGGTCCTTGCTAGCCGGTCACTGCCAGGGTGACCTTCTGGAGGGAGAGAGAAGGGAGGGCAGAGAACAGAACGAAGGCTGACTGAGTGCCTGCTGCTCACCTCAAAGAGGTGCGGTCATAGATGTTTCCCCTCATGCCCTGCCCCTAGGATAAGGCCTGCAAAGTTTACTCACCCCCTTCTAGACTGTCTTCTGCACACGCGCACTCATTAATTTTTTAAAATGAGGCGATGCTAAACGTTCCGTGTGGATCATCTCGTTTAATCCTGAGTGCTTTTTCCTTGCCTTTGTACTTTAGGGAACTGAGGCTCAGAGTGGTTGTGCACGTTCCCTAAGGTCACACAGCCGGCCGGCTTGCCTGGCTCCACAGACTCACTCTGCATCCTCAGCATCACTTACTGCTGGGGAAGGCTGGCCATGTCCTCGTGGGGGCATTTGGGGCTGCAGGGCAGTCGGGGTTGGAATTCTGGGCCGCGGGCCTGATCTGGCCCATCCTTCTGCTGTGCTGTGAGACTCAAGCTCTGGGGTCAAATTCCAGCCCCAGGAGTCCTTGTTAAGGCTTTAAAGGGGGTGGAGGGGGGATTCTACTGCCATGTGATTGGGGCTCTGCCCTTGAAGAGGGCTCCCAGCTCCCAGGGTTCCCAGCTGTCTGGAACGGATGGCCTTGCCTTGGGTCTCTCTCCCAAAGCCCAGGGGACAGAGCCAGGCTGGGTGGTCTGGGACCCGGGCCCCTCACTAGCTGTGTAACCTTGGCAGTTCCCGCCTCTCCCTCAGCCTTGGCCTTCTCTCTTCTGAAGTTCCTTTGAGCTCCAGTGTAAGCCCCCAATTCTTCCCCTGGACAGGGAGGGTGGGGTCTGCAGCTTGCTGGT